AACCTGTGCAGATTGGCGCCCGAAATTGGAAGAGTTCCTACTTCGCATTTTTATGTGGAATCCTGTGTGGCTCGAAGAACAGCGCTATCTAAAGTGCGATCCGCCAATAATATCGGAGAATGAACTTCAGGCTATGAAACTATTATACGATTCTTATGAACAGTATTATGAAGTCGCGATGCCTCTTCTATTACTCGAAATGTGGTGCATCATGACTAAAGATTTTGAAATGATTCAGAAGAATATGCAACGTACTACCGTGATGTGTTCTATAGTTGAGAATTCTATTACGCACACCCCTATACCGTCGACTAATTTATTCTTGACAAAATTGACTCTTGAAGTGCTAGTCAATAAAGAAGATTTTAATAAACAAAATCATCCTATTTACGGAGATCTGGTATATCTTGAGTATGTCAAGAATCAACACGGTAAACAAATCTTTCATAAGATATTCGCATATGTCATCAATATGCAGCAACACATGATTATTCCAGGTTCCACATATTATAATAGTGATTTAAAGAATTATGTAAAAGATCCATATACAATTATAAAATACAGCGTGTGGACACGACCTCTTGAACACATTATCGTAAATAGAGTGCAAAGACTCCGAACGGTCACATATTTGCGATCGAATATCAGAATGGTACAGGCATTACAATATCTCCCTCATTCACCCTTGTCAAAGTTGATTGTGAATCCGAAAATTGAAGACTATCAATTACCACCACTAAATGAACACTTTACATCTTCTTCATTAGTAACAAAAGAAGATTTAAATTCGAAGCAATTAGAGGCTGTATTTCGGGTGACGAATGCTGTAATAAAGAAAGAGGCTAAATTATGCTTTATTCAGGGCCCACCGGGGACGGGCAAGTCTAAAGTTATTGTAAATCTGGTAACTCAAATATTATATGGTGGATGTCAAAACAAGAAATCTTTGAGAATTCTGATTTGCGCACCGTCTAACGCCGCTATTGATGAAATTGTGATAAGGCTCTTACATATCAGATCTATCCTAAAACAGAAACGTTTTAATATGGTACGCATTGGTCGATCAGAATCTATGCATCCAAAAACTAAAGACATTTCTGTACCACAGATAGCAAAACGCCACCTAATAAACATAAGTAAAGGTATAAAAACAAATACGAATAACAACATTGAAGATTTATCAATTTTACAAGCATATATTAATTCATTTAATGCCGAACTTGGAAGTATCCAAAATGTACAAGAAGAAAAGAGGTATTCACTCAATAGAAAATTATTTGAAACAACGGTGAAATATGAACTTATGAAATCTAATAAATCGATAGACGAAGTCAATTCAAAGGAGCGCGCTAGGTATCAGCGTATGTCAGAAGACATAGTTCTTCAGGGTGCCAATATAATTGCTTGTACACTTTCCTCTTGTTACACTAATCAGATGGAATCACTCTTTGGCGGTCATAAGGAAAGAATATCTGTATGTATCGTTGATGAGGCGACACAGAGCTGCGAAGCAGAGACTTTGATACCATTAATGTTGGGAGTGACTACATTAGTTCTGGTAGGCGATCCAAATCAACTACCAGCAACCATTCTAAGCCAACGAGCGAAGAAATTGGGATTAGATCAATCAGTATTTTCTAGGATACAAAACGTTTTCGCATCTCAATCGAACAATCCAATTATAATGTTGGACATGCAATATCGTATGGAATACGCGATCTCGTATTGGCCTAATAGATACTTCTATGATGGTAAATTGAAAAACGCTGCCGATTGTAGAATGAAATTTCCATTTCACGCATACAGAGTTTTGGATCATAACTTCACTCAAAATTATGATAAATTTTCCAATACCACTGAAGCAGAATTTGTGGCCAATATAATTTATACAATGTTGAAATGCACCAAATGGGAATCAACGAGTACTACTATTACTCTCGGAGTTCTCACACCGTATAACAATCAAAGAACTCTTGTACTAAATAAAATTAATGAAAAGTACGTGTGTGCAAAAGCAATAGTTTTCATAAGTTGTAAAGAAATAGTAAATTTACAATTCATATGTTTTTTTTATAGGATATCGTCTGTACCAGATGACATAAAAAAGAAAATTAGCTTTGAAGTTAATACGGTCGACGGTTTTCAAGGTCAAGAGCGAGATATTATAATAATGTCCTGCGTGAGAAGCAACGGTATTGGATTTTTATCAGATAAACAAAGACTTTGTGTGGCACTTACAAGAGCTAAACATAGTTTAATATTATGTGGAAATTTTCGTACTTTCATGGTAAGCAAAAAATAATCCTGAAATTTTTAATTCTGGAAGTAGTGAGTAGTTGCGCTACTGGATGTATCCACTAGTTGCATTCAACATAATGATCACTTTTGCAACTGTTAGAAGTTTTCTTTGCTAAGATAGAACTATTCCTCTATATTTGAAAGTATAATCCGAGTTAGAATATGAAGAAAATTATTGTGGAAATTTGTGCTACTCTTTATATTTTAATTAACCAGCAAATTTTTGCTTTGCAGAAAGATAAAATGTGGAAGGCATTGTTAACTGATGCACGAAATCGTGGAATTTTATGTCGTATGGATACTAATGCGACACCTAGTATGATTAAAAAGTATATCATTAAGTAAAGTATTCATTTGTAAAGTTTTACTTAACATCGTAATTACTTCTTTATATGGTTTGTATATTTTGTAAATATTTAGGCTAAGTTTGAATATTTAAATATTTAAAGTGCTTATAATGAAAAATGTATCAACTGAGTTTTGAAGAATATTTGTTTAAAGTAATATTTCAGAATCATAGTTCTAAATAATGAGATAATCATATATGAATGCCGATTCCACCACTAAAGTTGATTGCTTGCATCGGATATATCTCGCTCACTGAAATACTACTGGAACGAATGCGGCCTTATGTTGTCTTTGTTAAGAATAATCTAAGAGAGAACGTTCTAATTGATATCTTTATTCTTTTCTAATTTGTATTCAGTTATAATTGCGCAATAAACGGTATTGCACATGCACAATCATAGCTAAGTATAAATTAGAAAAGAATAAAGATACCACTTGAAATGCTCTTTAGCATTGTTCGTCTCTTGGGAACAGCTACTCGGGGAAACCCAGCGTACTTGAAACGTAGGATTCACACTACTGCCTGTTCTACAAAAGGGTCGCGAAATCGTAAGCTATAAGAAATTGGCCAATCATAGTTAAGTGTGAGAAGAATAATCGACTATGATTGGTTAATTTCTTACGGCTTACCGCTTACGATTCTATTGTAGAACTGGCCTATATACGATCATCGTAACAATGAATATCAGACGTCGTATGACGAATGTATGTAGTGTGAATCCTATATTTCAAGTACGAGTTCATTCGGAACGACCCCTCTCAAGAGACAATACTTTTAACGCCAGCGCTTTATATTTCAGTGATCTCACTACAGTTACAGGCCAATATTACATACGTCCGTTTTTTGTCGTACGACAAATTTTTCAAGCGTGTTAATTGGCTGCAAGACAGAATCTCGGACCTCTTTGTTTTAGCCAATCAACAGACTTGGAAAATTTGTCGTTCGACAAAAATGCACAAATGAAATAGCAGCTTAACAAAGGCGGCATAAAAGCTATTCTACATTAGTCATATCGTAGCGTCGGAAGCGTCATAGCATCAAGCGACTTTAAAATTGAAGCAAGGGATTGATGGAAGCAATAAGCTGACTTGCGACGTCCAATATAGAATTGCCTTAAGGCTGATATTTCATGTATCGTACAACAAAGTTTTTCAAGCCTGTTGATTGGTTATAGGATACAGAAATCCGAGAATCTCTCTATCCTATAACTAATCAACAGGCTTGAAAAGCCCTGTCGTACAATACATAAAATATCGGACTAAAAGAATATATGTACAAAGAATCAGCTTGATATTCACAATTTTTATTGGTGGCCACTATCAGTCAATCAACAAGTGAAACTTATTTGCGCTTCTCTTATAGGACTCTAGAACTGCGTTCAGGAATTACGCCTAAATAACTCTTGGATACATTTTTGTTATACATAATGTAACCTATTACTTAAAGTCATCTGGGCATAATTTCTGAACGCACTCCAGCGCTCAATGACCGATTGTGTTTCTGGATGCACTCAGTGGCTGCGTTCAGTGGACTCGAGTTGAGTGAACGCTCGCTGCTATTGGCCAAGTTTCCACTGAAGATTTAAACCGGATCAGAATGTAAGAACCAACCAACTACAGTCGAGCATTCCTTTGTCATTCGATTATAACAGGGGAATACTGTAGTTAATTAAAACCCTCAGCGGAAACTAGGTCATTGATGTATTTTTTCAAATTTAAAATGCTGATTGGATGATCTAAAAGAATACACCAATGGCAGCGAGCGCTCAACTGTTGAGTGATTCGCTGAATGTAGTCATTGGGCGTTCAGCAGATTCAACTATAGTAGAAATTCGCTTTGGAGGTCGAAATCCGAAAATTCGATTGGCTGAGGTGGAAGGAAGGAAGGATCCGCTTGCTGTTATTGGTCGCGTTCAGCAGAGCTCACGGATCTGCACAAGATTGTGTATCTTCAAATGAGGTGAAAATTACAAAAGTAGTGAGCAAATTCTCTAGAGTATTCATAATTCAATACCTAATAATCTTTGCTCACTTTTGTAATTTTCATCTTCTTTTAAAATTCACAATCGACCCTCAAATTTGCTGCATAACAGTTGAGTGCTGAGTATTAATCATGAAACTTATCCTTAGGATATTTTAATCATTGAAATTAATGGAGAAATTTTTCATTTTTCACTTTTCATCCTAGAAAAAAAGTTTCATGATTGATACCCTGAATGCGACCAATTTACAGGTTGTTTTCTATGGCTAAACTAATGTACACTTTTGGAACTTAAAGTGAGGTAGATATATGTGATATTATTTATTTAAAGCGAGAAAGAGAGTTCTGGAACAGTCTAGTGTAGGAACAGAAAACAGATCATATGTTTGCGTTTCGGATTATTTAATTTGCTTCAGTAATTTTATAATCATGGTTGTATTTCGAAGTATAACAGTGGATGAATATAAAAGTAATTACATGACGTTTCGATTGCTGTACGCGTTTCATCGAACACCAATCGGAAAATGCCTTATTGCCGTAACCGACACCGACGAAAGTGTGACGTACTTGAGATTTATTGACGATGAATACGATAATGAGGCGGCTGCTCTCAAAGATTTAAAAGCGAAATGGCCTTTAACTCAAACATTGGAGGATGCTGACAACAAAACAGATGCTGTTATCGTGAAAATCTTTCATCCCGATTATTCACGGCTTGATTCCATTCATGTTTTCATGAAAGGCACGGAATTCCAAATTAAAATTTGGAGATCTTTGACTAGAATCCCTGGAGGAACGGTCACCACGTACGAGGAAGTCGCACGGATGGTGGGTTACGATTCTAAAACCGCAATAGCAGTGGGAAATGCATGTTCTAAGAATTATGTTGCCTATATCGTGCCATGCCATCGTGTGGTAGCAAAAAACACACATGTTTGTGGCATCAAAAATGCTTGGAAAATTGAGCGAAAAGAAGCTATCTTAAAATATGAAAAACAGCTCTATGCGTAAATATTGTAAATTAATATATATTATACAAGTAAATTAATATATATCATACAGAGCATAACATATTTAACATTTAATTAACATTTAATTTAACATTTAATATTATTATATGATATTATATGATAATTATAATTAAATATTATGAATTTGATATTTGCCAGTATAGTGAATTTTGCTAGTTTGCCAGTACAGTGAATTTTGAATATAGTCTATATCAAATTTATAATACTCAACTTCTGTCTGTAGTTGCTTTCATAATTTATAATTATGTTACATTTATTTTCATTTATTTTTCTTGCATTTAAGCATTTCTATAATATATGAACAATAAATTATGCGAAATAAATAGCGCATTTATAGGTGATAAATGTTTATTTTTCTCACGTACATTAGATCTTGTAAAATTACAAAATTTTTTTTGTTAGTATAATAAAATACAGTGATCATAAAGATATCTCGCTTATAAATGAGATATCTTCAAATATTTCTTAAAAATTATTGTCACTTATATTTATATATTTACATCATGTTTTTTCATGGGCAGTCAGCTATATAACATTGTTTGTTGTCAGCTATATAAAATTGATTCATGAAATCAGTAAATAAAAATATTTCTGTATAAATAATAGAAATTAAGTTCATCATTATACATTACTGTACATATGTATTTCATGGAAATTGATATTTTTATGTTTGATTATTAATAATTTCTTGAATTACATATTGTTTGAATACATTTATTTATGCTTGCTCCTAAATTTCCTGCAATTTTCTTTAATCCTATCTTAAATATCCCAATTTCATAACGCATCCTTGTATATCTTATTATTGCTTATTTAATTTTTTTATACAATTGTACATCTTCAATTAAAATTATGAAGTAAACTTGTTCACTATATATATATATATATATATATATATATATATATATATATATATATATATATGGTATATATATGATATATCTCTAAACATATTTATGAAATACTATAAAACAGCAAAATCGATCTTTGTATAAGATATACTAATTGCATTAATATATAACAATATCTTATTGATTAGATAACGTTAAATCGCGAAGAAATATATGCTTCCTAAAACTTTTAAAGTAAGAAAAATTTTTATTTTTACTCTCTAAATTCTTTGGAGTAAAATCTCATTTTTAAAGATTGAAAATTAAGCTACTTTTTTTCAAGACTGACTCAATTTTCTTTAAAGTGAGAGTCCACTCCAAAGAATTTAGAGAGTGTAAAAATTTTCTTCAAACATATAAATAAATCTATATATAATTTCAATAAGATTTTTTAAAACGCAAACACAATTTCCTTCCTCTTTTATATATAAAAAGATATAAATTTTCCTATATATAAATATATTTGAACAATGCATGACGTACAATAAAACACTTTAACGTAATTTTATGGCGAGTACATTGTTGCGCAATAGCACACGTAATTGATTACACCGTCCGTAAATTTTCGCTCTCGCTACGTTTAATTCTCGAGTTCCGCCGATTCCGAAGTAGGCGAATATACACCAGAGATTGTGAGAGTATCGATAACATACTGCCTTAGGTCGTCTCATGTCGTCGTTTGCCCCTAAGTGGCAAACTCGCTCACTTCTCTTGTGTCACGGGAGCAATTGGGTGACTAAAGCACCCGAATAAATAGATAAGAGGAGGTAAATATATTTCGACGAGGTATTTTCGTGTCCCGGGAGAATATTATAGTCGTTGACCCAGACTACTCAACAGATGCATATAGCTGTCATAATGAGAGATATAAGGAGACATAAAAGTTAAGATAAAAAAACTGGGGATGTAAAACGTGTTCGATAGAATTAAGATATTATTAGCTGTTACAAAAATAAATGTGTCAATAAATAAACTCGTATAAAGTAGATGAT